GGAATGTGGCTTTGTAATTAAATTTGTCTTTAATTAGAAAAATTTAATCCAAATTCCAATTCTTTGAAATCTCAAATAAGTAATTTTGATCAAATTCGAAATTGAAAGCCGAATTCATATTCTCAAACATAATGCTCACCATTAAAAATTATTCAAAACCATAGCACTAATTAAAAATGTTATTCTCAAACAAAGTTATATGGTTTCATTGGATAGTATCTAAGTGCTAGGATATTAAACGAACCTAATAATTTAAAATCAATGTGTAATTCATATTTGAATATGGTAATTCAAATTTGAATATCTTACCCATAAATACAAATTTAAATGTGACCTTTTACTCAAATGTTCAACAAATATAAATCTTAGGATATTTGATTCGTACTATATTTGAATTTGAATATCTTACCTATAAATACAAATTTAAATGTGACCTTTTACTCAAATGTTCAACAAATATAAATGTTAGGATATTTGATTCGTACTATATTCGCATTTGTGTGTGTGTTTATGACCCCAAGCGATTTAGAACATTTACGGTGCTCCGCACTAAAATGGTTCTTACCCCCTTCTTCCCACCACCCTCCCTCCTACAAGCTCAACAAGCCTTCTAAGTTTGCCATTATCTAGAATAGGAGGCTGGGAGGTTTCTAAGGAGTCACGAGATAGGAACCACTTTCAGATCAAATGGAACACTACAAAGGCTTCCAATGGTCTGGTGTCATAATATGACATTGGGCCTTGGTGCAAAATTACCCCTAATAAAACACTTTTATAAATAAAGAGGTAGGGGTGGGGTTGGGGGGCTGCAACTGGCCACAATCTTTTTAACCTTGTAAGTTTGACAAAAACATTCTGTAAAAAACCCCATGCAAACCAACCCGTGGGCAAAACCACGAATGCATAATCTCCAAAAAACAAAAACCAAAATTCATTGAAGGGCAAATTCAAACGAAAGAAAAAAGTTGATATGATACAACTATTAACGTTCTTGACGGACCGATGGCTTCATTCCCTACGCAGTAACCATGTACTTGTCAGTCTACATGTTACAGTAAAAGAGCCCAAGAACCCTCCTCCATGTTCTTCCATTTTCCGGTATTAAAAGACTTGTGATTTCGGTTGCATGTGTTTCTGTTGCTGGCCTGCAGAAGTGTAAATCGACGTTAGACTAATACCATATTTCAACCTTTCATAATGCTGAGTTACCAAATGGATGACCAAATCTGCATAATGACCATTTACTCTTGAAATAAGGCTATTCTTCCTCTCAAATCCATTAAGTTTTACAGGTAACATTAATTTTGCAAGATTATTGTCGCCCATTTAGTTAACCATGTCAGGAACTAAAAAAAGGGTTGCCATTGATTGCATCCTTGCAGGCACCTCTTAAATAGGCTTAGTGCAACAAAAAACAATTGTCACGGAATTGACTTTTATAAACTTGTTTATGATCTGAACAGTAATAATATATATGAACATGATGATCTACTCAAAAAACAACAAAGAGTTGAGAGCATAGTCACAGAATTCGCTCCCAGACCCGCGACTTCCGTATTGGTACGATTCGTACCCAATCGCAAGTCGCTTGCGATCCGATCGCAACCGGTACGGCGATCCAAATCGCTATGGTACGGCGCTCCCCGATCCAAATACCCAGGTACGTCGCACCCATCGCCAGCGGTACAGCGTACCAGTGGCGACTTCCTCGACTTCCTCTTCCGAGCAAAGCAACGTCAACTTCCTCTTCCCAGTTTGCGTCTTTCCCTCTTCGACGATTTCTCTTTCCCAAGTCTTCGTAAATTGAGTATGTTCCACTTCCCAGGCATGTTCCACTTTCCCAATTAAATAATTCTCTTTCCCATTCTCATCATTTAATATTTAATTTAAAATTCAATTCACAATTAAATATTATACTTATTTTTATCTATTTTTGTTTACTTATGTTTTGACTTTTGGTACGCCGAACCGAATACATGGTATACCGTACCGCTTCATACCGAAATGAACCTACCCCCCTTCGTACCGAATTCGTTACCTCTGGCGAATTTCGTACCCATACCGCGTACCCGTACCGAAACGTACCGCGATTTATGTGACTATGGTTGAGAGAGCATGACACTAGAGGAAAACATGAACTGGTTGCAAAATAAATGTACAAGAACTTATTAGGCTTCTTTCATGTAAACCTGTAACCACTTAAATATCCAAGTAATACAAACGAACACAGAGAATTGCAAAAGGTAAAAAGAAACAACAAATATGTATATGCCTTGTCCATGAACCTTTTTTCTCTAGAACTGATCCTTACGAAAAGATCATGGAAATTAAGGTTTTAGACTTTTAGTCCCTCAATAGTTTGACATTAAGTAATCCAGTACATGTCTCTCAATTTTATGCATCTGCTCCCTCTATTTTACACGGTAACCGTTCAAATCCAGTTGGTGCCTCACAATACCGTATAGTTTTTGGTTAATGGGGGCATTTTCAACATTATAGATTGCTAAAAATGCCCTTACAAAACCTACTGTTAACATTTAAAGGTGGACAGGACAGTGCATCAGAATTATAGTACTTGAAAGGCAAGTCACACCCCCCCCCCCACATACACACACACACACAAACACACAGAGTTGAGAATTAACATTCTTGGTACTTCATAGCTGAGTTACTTTGCGATCAATTACCATTCCATACTGGCAGTTTATGCCTACTTGTGGATACATATGATAAAATCTTTAAGAGAGACTCATGAAATGAAATGCTGCCTACTTCCCTGCACTACTCAAAATGAGCAAATACTACAGAGCCATTCAATTGTAAACATTAACTAATGCCTAGCAGATAGAAGTCCAAATTCAAAAAGACATTACTACATGGTCACTCAAAACATCATCTCCAGCAAGCAGCAATCAATCATGGAGTGGTAAGACCCTCTGTATTGAAAATGTTACAATCATATCTCCCTTAAAAATCAAGGATTCGATTCCATCGTTCACCAATCCCAANNCCCCCCACCACCACCACCCAGATGTTACTTATGTGGCTAAATTACCAATATACCCTTACACAGCCATGGAATTCACACCTCCCTTACAGTGGAGACTAAACAATAATCCAGGCTCAAGATTGTGAAACAGGTGTTCATATGCACTATCATGCCAACATCCATTCTTATTGCAATGCATCTTACACTTTAGCCTCTCAATTTCAGACTTACAAATTAACTAAACTTGCACAATCTGACATAAATCTTCACTGGAGAAAGCCTATTCTTGTAGTAATCCAAATTACAAAAGATTCATTTTCAGAGAACTAATGCACAAACAGCATTTTTCTTCAAAGAACAGATTTTCATCAACAAATCATAATACATTGCAAAAGACTCAGTCTTTAAACAGAAATGAACACATAATTCCAATAACATTTTACAGCCACAGATGTAATAGGGATCTAAACGATTAAAGAAAAAGCATATACAAATGACGGCCTTTAGAACACAAGTACAGAACAAGAATTGACATAAAAGCAGATTAAATACAAATGAAGGTTAATAAAATGGGCATCGGTTTGAAATTGAAAATTTCAAATTATTTTTTTTTTAAAGGAGAAATTAGAGGTACTTGAAATACGAACCTGTTTGGGATTGAAGGCCACCCACGGAATAGCTGTAGATTCAACGCCATTGCAAACGGATTCAAAACCCTAAGGAGGCTTAGAGAGAGAGAGAGAGAGAGAGAGAGAGGAGACAATATTAAGAGTGCGCCCAACTTGAGTCACTCTCAAGGGGCAGAGGAGTTAGTTGTGAATTGTCTGATGATATCTGTGGCTTTTAAGATTGTGATTTCTTCTTTTCTACTGTGTTTCATTAATTTGGGTTTGGGGTGGGGGGTTTATGATGATGGTAATTCTCCGGTCGCACGAATCACCAGGAAGGGAGATGAACGGCGGAACGGCTACGTTCAAGAGAGAGAGAGAGGAAAAAGTAGGCTCATCAATTTGTAAAGTACTCACTCCGCCGCGGTTGCATTTCGTTTTGTATTTTTACGAGTTGTCGCAGTTTCAACAGCTTTCATGGCCTTTTCTCCTGCACCGCAGTCATCCTTTTGAGAAAATATTAAACCATTCCTTCCCTTTTAATGCTGTGTTTAGTTGAGAACAAGCGAAATGAAGAGAAATTAGTCAAACTACTACGTAGTACTTCATATTTCGAATTTTTATTGGTTGGTTTGGAGAAAAAGAAAATTATTAGGAAAGAGTCAAAAGAACATGTTTTTCTTTGTTTAAAAAGAAATCTTTCTTTCTAATAGTGTGTATGGTTGAGGATGAAAAATATTTCACTAAAATTTTGATTCTATTTTTTTTAACCACATCACAATTTTGTGAATCACTATCAAAACATACAAGAAAGAGTTACAATAATGTCTATGCCAAAACTATATAAAAAGAGATCAAACAATATATCTTGTTGAGTAAATTTTATATATGGTTCTTAACTACTAGTAGGGTTATAAAACAAATGAATAATTTTGATTCGATTCGTGATTAGTATTCGAAATCAATTATTCATATTCGTAAAAATGAATACGAATTAGAATATAAATATTTACTAGAACTCGAAAGAAAACAAATATGAATACGAATGTATATGCATTCGATTCGATATGTTAATGAATATATTCGAAGATAAATATAAAAAAGTTTAACCAATATACTGTTTCACAATAAATACAAATTATAATATATAGAGTACTTCGTAGTTTATTTTTAGTGCAATATTCTATAGTTGATACTTGATAGTACATATTTTATTTTTGGGTGCCATGTAAAAAAAGAAGTACTTAAATAATTTTAAACAAATGAGTTAATATGAATTAAAATATGGAGTAATTGATAAGAAGATCCAATACCATAAGTTTATATTCCATAAATGTTAATCACAACTCCCTACGTTCACCAAAACATTTTCTCTTTTATTTTTTTTCTCTTCCATCAAAACACTTCCACTTTTTATTAAAAATCCACTTTTACCCCTACATTTTTACTCTACATGTTACATCATACTTTTTTTCTAATATTCTTTCTATCACATCTTACTTTTACTCATTACAACAAGGACAAAATTGAAAGTCAACTACAATATAACATTTTTTTTAATCTGGCATTTGGTAAAAATGGGAAGGATTTTCCCAAACCGATGGAGTAGTTCACTACAAGATTAGTACACCTTGTCATTTCCTTTTACTTTTAAGCAAAAGCACTTCAATTAATAATCGTGCAAAGCACTCTTCTCGTACTCTCTAATGCTACAGTCCTCAAAATTTGAAGCTATAAAACATATAAAAAATCAAATTTTGTACTCATATTTTATATTAAAAAAATACGAATACAAACCGAATATTTGAATTTAATAACGAATCGAATACGAATAGTAATAATTATTCGAATGAAAAACGAATATGAATATGAATAATAGTATTATTTTTCAAATACGAATAAAATTTTATAATATTCGATCCGTTCGTTTTACAACCATAACTACATGTGGTTTTTCATATTTAGTCCTTAAATATTCATAAATCGTCCTTGATTTTTGAAAATTATTCCATAATCGATCATTCAGGGACTATTTTTGGAAAAAATATTCTCTTATATTTGGCCTAAAGGACTAATTATGGAATAGTTTTTCAAAATTGAGGATCATTTATGGAATATCTAAGAATTGAGGATTAAATATGAAAAACTATTCGTAGTTGGGGACTATTTATGGAATTTATTTTATCTTGTTGCTCATATTACAATTAAGATTGAATCTAGTGTAAGCAATGCATTCTTCTTCTTTGATGAACTCTTGAAAATGAAGTTTTTTGTTCCTTGCATTCTAGACCGAGTAGCAAACTGCAACCCATGCTGCCCACCAAATAGCTTTATGTCTCCTGGTAGCTGCCTTTTTGAGCTTTTCACAAAAATCTTAGTGTTGCAGCTTGTATGTTGCATCATAGTGGCACCATGATATTCTTGTACAGCTTTTGAAAATAGGCACATTCCTAAAACACATGATTACAATTTTCGATTCCTCTCCCACATAAGAGGCAATCCATGCTAATGTGCAAGATTTTGCTTAGCCTCTTCCACATAATAACACCTCATTCACTCTTGGGTAATTGCCCTATGAGCATGCTATACCCCTCTTTAGGAGTGTAACTACCTTGTATAGGGATCCTTTCAAAAATCTCTCCTAATTTTAATCCTTGTTTTCCAATATTAACAAGCGTCGAGTTTTGGTATATAATCCCAAAAGTTTATATTTTTGAGATATCTACTATGAATCCACCTAAACCATAAATTTTCTTTCTTAGTAGCAACATCCCAATTTAGCTTCGTAACAAGGGCTTTATACCACACACTAGGTTTTTGAGCCCTATTCCACCTTGATTTCTAGGTAATTAAGTATCTTCCCAACTAACAAGAGGGATCCTTTTGTGGTGCTCAGCAGCACTCCATAGATAGTTCCTACACAAGGCTTGGATTCTTTTCATCACATTACTTGGAATCACCAATATCCTTGCCTAAAAATTGATGATACTATATAATAATGAGTTGATTAACTTGATCCTACCAGCATAAGGTAGATGCTTGATTTTTCAACTGGTGATTTTTGTTGTGATTTTCTCTATAGGTGAATCCCTATCGACCATGGACATTCTGCTAGTAGTGATGGGACAACCCAAATATGTAAAAAGCAGCGTACCTTCAGGAATGCGAGCACATTCCATTACTTCCTTCTTTTCCAACTGGCTCACCCCTACCATCACCATTTGAGATTTGCTGAGGTTAATGGATAGCCCAGTACTCTCCTTGAAATGTGTCAAGGCTCTCAAAATGCATTTGATAGACCTCAAATAAGCTCTGTAGATGATAATCAAATCTTTAGCAAAACATAAGTTAATGAGTTTAATATCCTAACACATGTGGTGATATCTTAGCTTATCCTCCTTTGCAAACTGATCTAAGATTTTGTAAGGTATTCCATAACCGATACAAATAGGAGGGGTGATACTCGATAGATTCTAACTTATAGTATCATAAGCTCACGTGATGTCCAATTTATAGTATGATAAGCTCGGGAGATGTCCTATTTCATCATGCATCTTGCTGATATGCCTTCCTATTGTAGCCTTTAACAATTTCTTGATAAAATAGCACATAATGGAGCAATTCTTTTCCCTCCAAATAAGTTCCTTGGTTTTAATTTACAACCTGTGGTAGAATCTTTATGAGTCTATTACAAATGATTTTGAAAATAATTTTGTAGATCATATTCATTCAGATCAGATCAGTTTTAAAAAATTTATTCAAATCAGATCTGTCAAAGAGATTGCAACCTCAGTCATAAACTCATAGTAGTCACGGTTCGCAAGATTCTTTTTGCCGTTGAATTCCATTGTTGCAAAAGTCACACATCTCTTTCTTTATGTATGTACAGCTGCTCACAGGTGCGACATGAAATACTTGCTCCTCTATATGGATCATATTGTTCTTATTGCATCCTATATGTGTCTTCCGCAATAGACTATACATAATTATTGTTCTTATTATTACCATTATTATTACTATTATTATTACAATTACAATTACAATTACTAGTAATATTATGATTATAATTATTACTATTATTATTATTACTATTATTATTAATATTAATATTAATATTATTGTTACAATTATTATTATTACTATTATTATTATTATATTTATTATTACTGTTATTATTATTATTGTTATTACTATTACTATTATTATTTCTATTATTATTATTATTATTACTATTAGTATTATTATTAGTACTATTATTATTAGTATTATTATTAGTACTATTATTATTACCATTATTATTACTATTATTATTACAATTACAATTACAATTACTAGTAATATTATGATTATAATTATTACTATTATAATCATTACTATTAATATTAATATTAATATTATTGTTACAATTATTATTATTACTATTATTATTATTATATTTATTGTTACAATTATTATTATTATTGTTACTATTACTATTACTATTATTATTTCTATTATTATTATTATTATTATTATTATTATTATTATTATTATTATTATTATTATTATTATTATTAGTATTATTATTAGTATTATTATACTCCGTAGTTATTATTGTTATTACAATTCTTGTTACTATTATTATTACTCTTACTATTATTATTTCTATTATTATTACTATTATTATAACTATTATAATAATAATTTTAATTTAGTTTTAATCAAATTTATATTTTATATCAGATCAGATCCAATCAGATTAGACCAGATCAGAACTTAAAAAAAATCAGATCAGGCCAACCTAATCCTGAAAGGCATGAGCAGACCTGGACACGATTCTAGTTCTAAATCGGTTCTAGAACCAGAATCAAACCTTTGGGGCGGGTAGAGCAGTATCGCTACACCTGGCAAAACAAAACCGGAACCGATTACCCGAACCGAAATATCCGAAACCGAAACCAAATTGACCCAAAAACTAAAGATTCAATCTATAACCGAAAACCCGAAATGATCCGAATCGAATCAAAACCGAACTAAATAATTCATATCCGATTTAAATCCGAAACCGATTAGATCCGAAACCGATAATATCCGAACCGATTAAACACGAAACCGATTAGATCCGAAACCGATAATACCCGAAACCGATAAAACCCGAAACCGATTAGATCCGAACCCGATTAGAACTAAAATCGATAATTCGGAACTATGTTTGCCTTTGTATAAGCATATTATATTTTTAAATTTTTACTTTTATTTTACCATTTGAACTAGTTACATTATTTGCTCATTCCCTCATAAAATGGATTATCTTTTTAAAATAAAGTATAAAATTTCATGCCTTAAATTTATTATATGTAGAAATTAAAGATAAGTTATACATATAAATGATAACTCACATACAAATAAAATTTTTGTAATTTTTAAATAGTGAAATGTGATATTCTTCTTAAGACGAAAGGATTATATGATGAATTGTATGGAATAACTAGATTTTATCCTAATTTCATCCCATTACAATAAATTTTATTGATTTGATGAGGGTTAATTTGATTAGTTTCAAACCAATTCACTCAATATTAGGCAATAAAATTAGATGTTAGTTTTAGCATTTTGAAAAGACTCTTTAGCTACAGCATTTAGTGTTATTATTTTTAAATTTGATCTTCACCATTACATTTAGGTGTAAAATTAATTATATTTGACTCTATTAAATTTAATTTTATCTATTTTCAACAAATACACTCAATAATTTATAAATTTTGCACTCAATTGAATAAAATTCACTTAATTTCACCCAATTTTACTCAATTTTTACCAAATTGTATTCAAATGGAACATAACACTATTTAAATTTATCGTTTATCTTTTCATTTATAAACATAAGTATATTATTAGATGTGAGAAAAAATTTGATATTTCAAAACTAAATTTTAGAATAAATTTAATTGTATTAAATTTATATCATAATTAAATATATATGTTTTCATAATTTGTAATCCAAATTTGTAGAATATGACTAAAAAGTCAAAAAGGGAAAATTATTTAGGGTAGAGATAATATAATTAGAAAAAAATATAAAATAATATGAGGTATAGAATTGATGATAGATTGATAAATGTGATAAAATATAAAAAGAAACATGGATAGTTAAATTTTAATTAGAAAATAATATATATCCAAAAATATATTTGATCCGAAACCGAAATATATCTGAACCGAACTAGACCCGGAACCGAAATATATCCGACTCAAATTGTATCCGAACCGAAATCTATCCGAACCGATTTATAACCAAACTGTATTTGAACCGACTCAAAACTAAACCGAACCAAAAAATGTATGAAACCAAATCAAATCCAAACCGAAATTTAACCGATCCGATCCGAACCGATTATAACATTTAACCAAAAGATATCCGCATTGAAAAAATCCAACCCGAAATCGATCCGGTTGACCATATTGCCACCTCTAAGTATAGCTTCCTACTTCAGTTTTGATTCCAAATTCGGTTTTAACTTTTTTTTTTCCAGCTTTGTTAGGCATTTATTACATTTAGTTTATCTATTTTACAAGTAAAAAACGCATCTAAAAATCAACATTTTAGATAAGTATTAGTACTCCCTGTCCACCATAGATCTTCCCAGTCACTTTTCACAGGGTCAAACTTCACTCACTTTGTTTGCTCATTTTTACTAGTCATTTTGTAAAATAATATAATTTTGTCACCTCTAGTTTTGTAAAACTTTTCATGTAGTTTAATACTATATAAATTTTATTTTAAAATTTTACTCCTATAATCAATTAAATTGAATTAAAAATAAAGTCGGTCAAGCCTCGTAACGCGTAATGGGAAGATCTTAGGTGGACGGAGGGAGTATCATTTTTGCACAAAAATAAATGAATTCAACAAAACAAAAAAAGAACCAATAAAAAAGGTTTTGGAGCCGGAACCGGTACTGAAATTGGAATCCACTGGAACCGGTACAACCTAGCCATTAGCCAATGAGGGAGATGGAACTCTCTTCTCAACAACCCAGCACCATTTGCAGGAAGTTGAAGGGTTTTCTAATACTCTGAAAATGATGGCGTCTCTGATACTTGCGATATCATACTTGGAATTTCAAGTAGTACTAAAAATTACAACTCCGTATAAGATTTCAAATGTAAAGTAGATACAATTGCATAAGATTACACTCCATCACATTACTAAATGAAGGGCTCGAATCGGCCACCCGATTAGGAAGATTCAACTCTTCTCCATGCTGATGTGCTTTTCCACCATCATCTTCTCCGAAACCTGAAATAGTAAACGATCACGACGGCTGCAAAGGCCACGGAAACCGCCGCCGCCGCCAGCGGAAGCTGGGCCGCCGATCCCTCCAATCCGTCAACACTTTCTTCGATAATCTTCCGGTCTAACTCCGCAACCCGATTCTTCACCCTAACGATTTCCTCCTCTCCCGCCGCAGCCGCCTTGTCTCCATTCGGACGCTCCGAATCTCTCTTCTCCAGATCTCCCATGCCCCTATATTCTAATCAAGATCTCCCACCATATTTCATTACGAGCAATCTGTAGAACTTTCTAGGGACACATCAAAATAAATACTCGCAATCAGATTCCCATGGCTTTTGTGATTCTTTCCTTGTTAAAGTTGGACCAAAGTCAAACGTCTGCCAGAAGGTGTTACTTATTGGGGATCTTTTTTTTTTTCCTTCAAATTTTGTAATTGTAACAAGTAAACATTCCTAGGATGATTTGCCCACATTTCGTTCAAATGTTAAAACACATCAAGAATTTCCAGATCAACCCTGTACTGAGTCTATTTAAAAATTGAATATTCTTTCTAGAAGACTGATAATATTTGGAATAAATTATTTTACATAAAATGAAAAAACGGTATTATTGGGAACACAACATGTTCTCTCAAGGAGAGGGCATACATTTTATTCCTCTTCATACCACATCTCAGTTGCGTGACAAACCAACATTGGTTGTTGAATAGTTAAGACTTAAGATCACAAGCCCGATGTGAAATTCATGTCTTGTGCTTCTACAAGCTCTTTTAATTCTGTAAACTTCATAAGCAATTTTGAGCAACAAATATGCTCAAAACAAGCATATGATAGAATAGGAGCACACCATTGTCTGTCGATGTGTGTGTCTTTGGTGTCAAATGTGATGTCATATGTAGGGTTCCCTGGCATTACCCCTCAAGAAAATGGTTGAAGAAACACGTCAACAAATGCAAGTTTGACACAGGTTAACCTCACCGAGAAATAAAGAAATTCCTCCTCGTAAAAAGTACAACTGAATTCAGCCTCCTTGTAAAAGTGGCTAATGAAATGGTCTTTCCTTGCAAAAAAGGACACACTAACACCATAATAAGATGTTGCAGCAAAAAACAAGATCACTACATCTCAATCCAATCACACAAACCATCATTATCCTTCCATAGATATGCACTATTTGGGAGGCAAATGAAGCAAGACATAGTACTGTATTAAATGAATAGCTTTAATATGACCATTAGAGGCCAAAATTATTGCAAAATATCATAGACAGTACAGAAGTAAGCACACTTAGGGGCTGTTTGTTTCAGCCTCTTAATGGTTCAGATGTCTGAATGGTTCAACACTTAATGGTTCAGACTGTTCGTTTCAGCCTCTTAATGGTTCAGATGTCTGAATGGTTAAGAGATTTGCCTCTGAATGGTTAAGTATTATACAGAGTCTGAATGGTTAAGACTTCTTATCTGAATTGATCAGACATTTGCCTCTGAATAGTTAAGCAATATACTAGCTCTTAATGATTCAGACCTCTTACTGGTTCAGCACTTAATGGTTCAGACCTCTTACTAGTTCATCACTTACCCATTCAGAAGTTGCCAAACAGACCCTTAGACACGAGGCAAACCAAAACCTTCACGATAATGCGTTATAAATGGCAAACTATAAACAAACAATTTGAGGGTTAATCAAAGATTCAGCAAATACTAACTGGAAAGTGTTTCATTGATTCCAGTTTAGCCCCAGTAGCATATCTCTTTATTACTGGCCAACCAAAACAAAGACCTTAATCTATAACATGTGAAGAGAAACCCTGAAAAACTAAAGCCAAAAATAGATATGGGTACTACCAAAACTGTCTTTAAAATTCTGGGTCAGACAAAAACCTCGTCCTCCAAAGTGATTTATGCCTTCCTCTGCTTCTGGTGCAGGTAGCACACAACACATCCTACAGCAATGGTAGCTGCCGTAGACCCTGCAATAACAGGCCACCCCTTCTTAAGATCACATCCATATCTCTTACCATTCGACACGGGGCACCCATTAACGCCGCCATCAACAGCCCTTTCAGATATCACCGTTTTCTTCTCCTTCAACTCTATCTCCAGTTCAGAGATTCTCTTCAACATTTCTGTTGTTTTCTTCTCTAGCTCATTCTTCTCCTTCTCTACCGCATCCTTTGCCTTCTCAGACCCATTCTTGGTCACCACAGCATCCTCTAAATCGACAACTTTCTTCTTTAGAGAGATAATCTCCAGTTCCTTAGCTTCCAACTCAGCTATATGACCACTTCTACTACTCTCCAACTTCTCCAATCTTGAAACAAGCAGATCCATTTCTGCCTCAACCGCTTTGAGTTTCCCTAAGCTCTCTTCTTCACTGCCTTTCAACCTATCCAAGGCTGCCTTCAGATGCGAAACCTCAGACTTTGATTCTGCCAGAGCAGTCTTGGCTATGGCGAGCTCGTGCTGCAGACGATCCACCTCACCCTCAAGCTGAGAGGCTCGCACAGCCACCACTCCCATACCCTCGCTCTCCAATTCAAATTTCTCAACCTTCTTCAGCAACTCGGATTTTTGGCGCTCAAGCTCCTCGATTGACTTCTTCAGCTTCTCGACTCTCTCCTTCACGACCTCGTTTTCATGAATCACTTCCAGCTTCTCCTGCTCCAACGCGGCCAGTTTCTGGTTAAGCGCGTGCGTCTTCAATTCTCCTTCGGAGTCGTCTTCAACGCCGATCTCAGCATCGTCGAACACATCTCCGCTGGTAGCCATATCGTCCGCCATAATCAACCCTGCAAAATCAACAAGAATACCGAACAAAAAGGACGCAGAAAATGAACGATTAATCAAATGGAAAACTAAATCAATTCGCGTATAATTGATTTTCCGCAGAATCTAGAAACGTAAATCTGAGAAAGTAAGAACCACCTTGGTTCTGGGATATCGAACTGAAGGACCAGAATGGCGAGATTTAGGATTAGGGTTTACTTTTGTGGACAGGAAATCAGAATAGGAATCAACGAACCTCTTTGAGATGGCGGCTTTCAGCGATCATCAAGAAAATGAACGGTTATGGATGCTTCTTGGACGATTATGTCAACCACGTTGCGAAATTCGTTTGGGCCTGGCGCATGTCCGATTGCTTATGGCCTTGATTGGGTCCTCCAATGGTTTTTAAGTTAAACACTGAAAAATTGATATAAGATATCTCTTATTCCGTGATAAAGACTGACCCGTATTTTTTTCTAAATATACTTTGGGCGCAAATTATATAATATACAACCGGTTGTACCCAAAATTGGTTACAGTCGGTAAATCAAAGAAGAAAAGGCGTCAATCGGAGGAGAAAGGAAGTGCTCCTAGTCGGGTCGGGTCGGAGGAAGGAAGCTGCGTTGAAGGAGAGCTGCGTCGGATCGGGAGGAAGAAAGCTGCTGTATAGAAGGGAAATGTGCACGATCGATCGAGGAAGCTGTTGATAGGCCGGAGGAAGATGCTGAAAAACCTAGTGGAGGAGTCGATCGATGGGGTGAGAGGGTAGCGGGTCGGGTGAGAGAAAAAAGAAAATTATTTATGGTATGGTTTTTGTATTTGAGAATGAACATTAAGTTTTTTGAAAATGAGTATTATTTTATTTCAGAATGTACACTTGTTTGTAGATAAATTTTATAGTTGTATTGAATAAATATGTGAAAATGAATACTACATTTTGTAGAATGAGTACTACATTTATTAAAATGAGTACCACGCTATAGTTATGTTTGTGCGAAAACGAGTACTACTCTATTTCAGATTGAGTAGTACCCAAATGTACCTATCTCTAGGTACATCTGGTTGTACCATATACCTACTCAATTTTGGGGGCTCTAAATATATTATTAATGACTAAGGAGGTGACTTCCGTCCATTACACCATTCGCTATATTTACTCTGGCTATTTTAATAATAAAAGGTATTGAAATTCCTAATTTGACCCTCTATCTTTCCTCTTTAATGCGATAATGATATGACGCTACAATCTAGGGTTTTAATATTACGTGAAGCTTCAAGTCGGAGAGACGAACCTCTGAGTTTATCTAAGTATTCCAAAACACTCATCAATTTTATAGATATTTGCCTTTGTTAGTTGATTGTTATGAGTTTGGGGTTCATTTATTTTTCACGATGTTTTATTCTGTTGGAATTTTTGTCTTGTAATGGGACAACTTTAGACGTAAATTCAGTGGGGTCCATAAAATAATTTTTTCAAAATAATTATGGACAAATAATCTTTTAAGTGAGACAAGTGTTTCGACATATTATTAAGCGCAAAAAATGGTACTCGGTTGAATGAAAAATTGTTACGGGACTATTATTATTATTATGGTAAAGAATTATTTATAGATAGTTAACTATTATTAAGGAATATTATATTTTTTAGGTGATTAATTAGTTTTCTAGTTTATTTAGTTGCCTTTTGTGATTAGGATTCCTTCGATATGCTAGCTATAGATGTATCATTACCATGAAGTTATTATTCAATGAATAAAGAAATATTTCCCTAACCCTAAACTCCCTTTCTCCTCCTCGCCGATCAACGACCGTCTTCCCCTTTTCCTTCTCAATCTCTTCCTTTTCCTCTATTCTATAGCTCGAAGGTGCTCAACCTTCCCTATCCAAATACGATACCGTATCAAGTGTTACAGGAACTATTATTGTTATTATGGTAAGGAATTATTTATAGTTAGTTAACTATTATTAGGGAATATTATACTCCCTCCGTCCTAAAATTAATTTCTCATTTTGACTTTTACAGTCAAAGTTTTTAAACTTAAACTTTGACTACATATTACAGAAAAAATATATCGAATTTTCATATAAATTTGGTATCAATAGATTAATTTTGAAACATAGTTTTGAAATATATTATTTTGATAATATATATTAATATAAAAATGGAGATATTAATGGTCAAAGTGCCGCATAGGAGACCGTGAAAAGTCATATGGGAAGTTAATTTTAGGACGGAGGGAGTATTTGTTAGGTGATTAATTAGTTTCCTAGTTTATTTAGTTGCTTTTTGTGATTAGGGTTCCTTCGATATGTTAGCTATAAATGTATCACTACCACGACGTTATTATTCAATGAATAAAGAAACATTTCCCTAGCCCTAAACTCTCTTTCTCCTCCTCACCGATCAATGACCGTCTTCCCCTTTCCCTTCTCAATCTCTTCCTTTTCCTCAATTCTATAGCTCGAAGGTGCTCAACCTTCTGTGTTCAGATACGATACCGTGTATTGAACTCAATTCAGATACTTCCCCAGATAAATAAATGCAGTTT